AGGTTGGTGTTGGACTGCTCACTGTCTGTAATTCCCGGCTTCACAACATTCAGCAAGGTGGGGTTGATGTGTAGATCTAGACAGCTCCACACTTGGTCACAGTACTGACAAAAGAAAAAAAAAAAAGACTTATTAATAGACCGATCATGCTCTGTTCCATTCTTGTATTTTAGATACTGTAAATAACAACCCTGCTATCACTCTCATAGTTCTCCACTGCCTTACTCTGTCATTTGATAGACCCTCATACCTTTTTTAACTGTTGATCCCCAGTAAAGAAAAGCTTCCTTCTGTTCTGAGAGAGCACTGACTAAAACTCAACCGTCAGTAGTTACTTTGCTTTTTTTTTTTTTTATCTTCAGCACTACACTTCACTTTACCTTTTTGTGTATTCAAATAATGGACAAGAATATAGTGTAAAATCTGTATACACCCAAAATTAAGCATTAGTCTGTGTTTAATCACAGGGAGAAAGAACCTTGCTTTCCTAAACAGGAATTCATCCTGGTTCCAGAGCAGCAGTGCTCCTCAAGAACAGAACAGCCTCAATTCATTTGAGTTGCACTAAATGCAGTGGCAGCGAGGAAAGTGTGGCATTTTTACAATTTAAAGAATAGGGTCAGAATTTTTCAAGTTGGTGGTAAAACAGTACTGATGTATACCCATGTACGTGACAATAGGTTTTGGTCACTGTCACTTCTGCTCTCCACACTGACCCTGAATGTTTCCACCCGGAATGCCACTACGCTACAAAAAAATGAGGGACAAACTACACAACTTTTGTTCTGTGCAAAAACACACTCCAGAGTTTGTCTGAGGCTCAAATGCAGCTACAGCTGTCCCAGTAAACTAATTTGAGTCAGTATATGTCAAAGTTAATCTATTTAAGACAAAGTTCCCTCTTTTATTTCCCTGGACAGTACCTTGTTGAGCAGCAGTGGAGGGATACGTTCTAGAAGCCGTGTGTATGTCTATTGTCGTTAGCTGGCATTTACCATCAAGTTGCGCTCAGAGTTGATGTGGAACCTTGCAATTGTGACAGCTGGAATATTTTTGCAGTTTGGCCTACAAAAATACATCATCCCTACAGCACTCTATAATCCAGAAACAGATTCAGAGTGGGTTTTACTAGTGTCCCAAAACCACAATCATATAAAATCTACAAAGTACAACAAACTCACTTCACAGTTAACTCTGACCACAACTTGAGAAACAAACACAGGCTAATTACAACAAACCTGCACGTGACTATTAGCTTAGCAAGCAACTCCTGGGAGACAGAGTCAAATGTCTTAAACAGATTGTACATTTGAAAGATACCGACTCGAACTATCTTAATGGGGCAACTGAAGCTTCATTTGAGCTTCAGATAAACTTTAGAGTGCAGTTTTACACAGAGCGAGGGATGTGTATTTTGTCCCTCATTTCCTAGCGTAGTGGCATTCCGGGTGGAAACCTTCAGGGTCAGTATGGAGAACAGGAGAGGTTACAATGATTGAGGCCCATTCTCACATACATATGGGCACATCAGTATTTTAAGAAGACAACTTGAAAAATCCCAAACCTGTCTTTTGAATAAAACACAGCACCTGTGTTTATGAATTTGCAGTGCAAATATGATTTTTGTTCTCCCCATGGGCTGTGGTTCGATCCGTTCATGACTGTTCAGGCTGAGACAAAGCAATGCAATTGTTGCATGTGGACTCCACCTGTTTGGAAAGCCATGAAAAGATTGAATTTGTGCCACTAAATTAAACATCTGATCTAGTGTCCCTCTGAATTCTGATTATAAACCAATAGAAGAAGATAATGTGATTTTGGTGCAAGATACTTTTTTGGAAGAACAGTACTGTTTTCTTATCCCAGCTTAGTTCTGTTATTCCAGTGCTAGTCAATCAAGAAAAGCCCAAATCCTCTCCGCTATAAGCCTCTAATCCACTCTGTATATATGACTGTATAGTATGAAACAAACTGCGTGCATGTTCAGTAATTTTCTTAAACTTTTTCAACCGACCATTAACAAAGACGGTGCATTAGCAAGGGAGATTTGTTTGCTTCATTTAAAAAAAAAAAAAAAAGCCCATTCTGTGCTAAATCTTTTTTCTACTTTAGAAGTAGAATAGAGAGCTCTTGTTTTTGAAGCAGTTTTCAATTTCTTTACTGCTCTCCAAGAGTGCTGTACAGACAGATGAATGACATTCTCTTCATAGCTGCTCAGAAAGGGGTTTCCCTAATGTATCTTAGTACTCAAAGCAGTGTTTCTTAAACTACTGTACCGGATGTGCAGGGCCGCAATCATGAGTTGTTGCTGTATTTTAACATGCCTGATGATGGGATTTATTTTGTGCATTTCAGGACTCGGTCTCCAAAGGTTTTAGAAACAGTTTTACTTCTGCCATTTTTGTAACTCAATGATAATCTCTTTGCTTAGGTGCTTATGTGAAGCACAAGCTTGTCTGTTAAAGTGATGGGAAAGCATACAGGACAGGGCATTTAGGACAACTGGTAGAGAGTGAATGTGGATAACATACTGGCTAAAGCCTTGAGCAGTAAGACTGCCACGTAAGAGGAAAATGTTGTTGGTAGCACACTCAAATTGGCTGTCCATAATGCCTCCAAATATAGCCTGTGTCTCAAGGCCATGAGATACTTTACTTCTCTGCTGTATTATCCATCGGCAGAACAGCAGCACTGCTTTTACTCTGGGCAGTCCCTGTAGACTGGGAGGAGTGATCAGCGAGATTGTTTTTCAGCCATGTTTTGTAAAGAAGAGATCACTGTTTAAAAAAGGAGGGAACATGTACATTTCTTCTAGAACGTTTGGTCTCACACTAAGTGTACGTATGCCTTTATCAAATGAAATAAATTGTATATGAAACAACAGTAAATCTAGCATTGCCTGGTCATTTTCTTTCATTTAGAGATGTAAAAAGGTGAAAGACCCAAAAAGCTGAGATTTCATTTAGAGCCTCCTGAACAGTTGCTAGACATTTACATCTAAGTGGTCACAGTCGGTTCTGTCAACTGTGGTTTAGCTTTTGTCCCTTACTCTGTGTGTCTGTCCATGTGCATTAAGGAGAAGCGATATTCGGCAGTTGCCTGTGTGTAATATGTGCTGACAAAGCCCCTCCCTCCTGCTGCTGCTGATGACTAATGGTGCTATTGTCAACACTGGCAGCAGGATAAATAGTAACAGCACAGGACGAGATAAAGAGGCACTATGCCGCACTCACTAGCTTTAAGCCAGGCCAGCTAAATACACAATGTGGTGATCTTGTTTCCGCACACATTCATTATGGAGCAGTGAGGAGGGGAGGCGATAATGGATGGGCCTTCCTGTGTCTTTCACTGAAACATCTCTTGAACCCTGCAGGGCTCTGAGCGATAACCGGTACAATGACAGACTGGACGGCATCCCTGTCACGAGGTTAGTGAAGGGATCCCCCATTAGGGGAGAGTTCCTCCATCCTCAGCATAGCTAAAGGTTAGGGAATAAGGGGGAGACAACATGGGCTGAAGGGCTATTTTCTAAATTGCAGAGTTATTCTTGCTTAATCACACTGTACAGTAACATCATTACTGAGTAATAAGTCAAAATGGGGGAAACCAAGGAATATACTTATCACAATAAAAATGACTATCACAGCCTATAACCAGCCATAAGGCTGGATAACACAACTAAAATACTGAGAACAGATGTGTTGAAATGGATACATAAGCCTGCAGCATTCATCTTTCCTTCTTGGAAGAAACTGTCTTAAAAAAAAAAAAATCCTAATCTACACATCACAGGTCAAGATTTGAAGTAAGACTCTTATTAAAGGTATCTGCCAGTTTGATTAATTTGGTATTGCTCAGCTAGAAGAACAACAAAAAACATCTAGTATGACTGGGTATCACTGCACATTCTTTGCTATTACACTATCAAGTGCAGATACAAAAACCCCTTTATGCTACCTTACTTTAAGGCATATTGACTTCTCTATAAAACTCTTTGTCAAAAGCAAAGACAACCTTCTAAACTGTGTACAAGAACTTGTAAAGGAACATGATGCCAACTTTTCAAAACTCAGTCATATGAACATATTTCAGTCTGTACAAAGAAAGTTTCGATCAGCTGCCCACTTGAGTCAAATCACATCATCACCTGCTCATGGCTTGACTGGTTGGTCGACCGTTGCAGCAACTGAGCCAAACTCCTCTCTCAGCAGTTTCAACACATTATCCGAATACTCGTCTCTCGGCCTGCCCATCCCGTTTAACTGCACAGGCTGCAGGTCGGGGTGGGGCGGGATGTAGGAGGACGGGCAGTGTAGCTCGTTGAGTGTAAACCAATATGTGTCTGGATCCACCTGGATTAAGTGTCGGAAAACACTGTGAAGAGAAAGATACATGGGAAGAAGATTAGCTCTGGGCTGAACTTTGCTACTTGCTGTGGTATGGGGGGGAAAACATCTTCCTGTGATCCAAAGTGACAGGACACAGCAGGTTCACTGGCTTTATTGGGCACTTCAACAGACCGACTATAAGCTCATTACCTCAGCACTGCCATTAGGTTGTTTTATTACCTTCAGTGAAGAGGTAAAACACAAAGTTTTTAGTCCTGTTGATATAGATATCTAGTAGTGTAGTTGTTGTTTTTTTGTGGAAACGGACTTGTGTTTATTGACTAGGCCAGTGTGCCATGCTATACACAGTAATGGGATAAGAGTGGAAGAAAACCTAAAGGTAAATCCATGTTTCTCTGGATGGAGCACACAGTAGCTACTGCTTATGTGGAATCCAAATGTCTGAAGTTATAACAGTGCATGGTAGAATGACTACTGGTCTACCAATGCCATTTCTACATACATCATCTAAAAGGTCCAGTGTTCATTTAAAATATTTTTCTTTTTAATTCTCTTAGTTTTTGGTGTGTGTGTGTGTGTGTGTGTGTGTGTGTGTGTGTGGCAGTGTTTACAGAATGAAGTGAGGTTTCACATTACATACACACACTAATGTTAACCCAATCAGAGCATATATAAAATTTTAGAGCAGGGACAAGCTAAGATGGAAACAGTATAATACAACAATACAGAAGAGGTATTTGAGCACAGAGAGAATATCTATGGAATAACATGCTTTTCATTTACACAGATTTAACAAGTTAAATATCATTTATCAGTAACATGAAAATATTGCAAAGGATGTGGGGAAAACACCTTATTTAGTCACTCGTTAGCTTTTAGTCTGGTAAAAAAGGGGATTCTGGGGATGAATAATTACAGAAAAAGAAAAAAAAATGTTATTTTTACTTGTGTATAAAGCACGATACTACAAGGTGCAAACGCCCTGCATGGAAAGTTTTATATGATATGATAGATTTTGGATTTATACTATACTGTGGGCATTTTTCATAAGATCGGTATCAGCCAAAGCCAATCCATCGCCAGTCCTTATCTACAACTACACTCTTGTATATGAGCGGACTCCATGGCGTTTTTAAGACGTGATCGTCACACTGTATTAACCAGTCCAGCTGTCTGCACTGCCTATGTGTCAGGTGGCATATCACTCACGCTTCAGGTGCAACCTGAAGTCTATTATTAGTTTTAAGTCAGTTTTTTCTGAGCTACACGTAAAATGCTCCACAAAATCCACCAAAACGAACGCTCTAGATCAAACCAGAACTCCAGATATACTGAAATCAAGTAAATACAGTTAAAACAAGATCTATCATCCTACCGAACATGACAGTTCTCTTTAAAGTGTGTATTTTTATTTGCTGTGCTGTACCATGGGTTGCATACACTGTACATATACACACAGTGTAGCCAGTGGTTCCCTGGCTGTCTATTGTTTGTCTGAGTTCTGGACCTGACTGTTCTCTTCTCCAAAGTGTTTCTGTAGGCTCCTCTGTTGTTGCTGTATGCCAAACGCTTCCTATACATGAGTGAACACGTGCCTGGTATAGACACGAGTGCAATCCTACTGTGATGTGCATGTGAGACATTATGCGCTGCACACACTGTGCTTTCATGCTTTTGTCCAGTGGTGCTATGACAGCCACCACCATTTGTTAGTGCGACCTTATTAAATTGTCAGACACTGGTATCTAAACTGGACTGGTTACACAAACTATGTGATGGATACGAGGCAGTAGTTAGTATCTGCTCTGTAATGACTGTAGTTCTGAATGTATTGTCCAGCTCCTTATCCTTTAGTTCAGATCCATAACCTAAGGTAATAAACTATATATTTTGGAACTATGACCTGATCCAGTATTTGGATCAAGAAGCTCCTGAAAAATACAGTGTGCCAGATTAATTTCAATATGTCGGATATTTTATGAACATTAATTGTAGATAAATATAAGTATCAGAATCAATATCAGATACTTGTTATTAAAGAAATTGGATCCGTATGTGGGCCAAAAAAAACACAGAATTGTGTAATTTATACACTACTGACGTGCTATATGGTGTGACTACAATGTAAGAAATGTGGATAATAATCTACTCCTCTCTCGAGGTTAGTTTCTTTGGCACAAAAATCACTCTCTGTTTCCACCTTTCCTTGCTGAGCTACAACGGAGAGATATTTCTTCCCTGGTAGTTGCGTGAAGGTTTGCTGTCTGGACATATCAGCAATAAACTTGCAACTGCCAGAACAAAGATTATTTGTCTGACTGAGACTAATGAGCCCTAAAAGAAGCTTCAGTTAAACTCTGGCATGCACTTTCCCACAAAACGAGGATTGTGACCTACTGTATATCTTTTACACTGTGGCCGCATTGCGATGAGACCTTTTTACAGCCAGAATGGACAGGAGAAACGATTACATCAGTGCACATATAGCATGTGCAGTCTGGATTAAATTAACTCCAAACATATCCTTTTTGTATATCGATATATATCGTTTTATTATTGCTGCTCCACAGACAAGGGTTACCTTAGGCAGGCGTCTTGCAGTCTAATGGGTTGTCTGCAGCTCAAGTACGGCAGGCAGGCTTCACAAACAACATCCAGATCTGCTTCACCTGAGAAAACCAAAGACAGGGTCTTTATTGCATTTCATCCTGTGTATGGAGAATGTGAAGCTGACATCACACCATGTTTGACGCATCATGCTCAATATCAATCATTAATATATACACTACCATTCAAAAGTTTGGGATCACTTGGAAATTTCCTGGTGTTCCAAAGAAAAACCCAGTTTTATCCATTACAAAAACATCAAATTTATCTGAAATACAGGACAGACACTTATGTTGTGAATGATAAACACAACATTAGTTTCTTTTTAAAGAAAGATCTACATTGCTCCAGAGGGACCTCATGTTAACTAATGCAAGTTTATCTTTTTATGAAGCTAACTCACTAGAAAACCTGTTTGCAATTGTGTGAGCACAGCTAAACACTGTTGTACTGATTAAGGCAACAATAACAGTGGCCTTCTTTAGGTTAATTGAGTATCTGGAGCATCAGGAGTTGTGGGTTTGTTTACAGGCTCAAAATGGTCAGAAACAAAGAACTTTCTTTGGAAATGTGTCAGTCTATTGTGCTTAGAACCGAAGGCTATTCAATGTGAGAAAACTTTGAGGACATGCTGTGAACTGCTCCCTTCATATAACAAAGTGGTTTTAACCAGAACAGACAAAGGAGTGGGATGCACCAGCACACAACTGTGCAAGAGGACAAATACCTGAGAGTGTCTAGTTCATCCCGGCAGCCTGTCTCTTAAAGCAGGATTATTAGCTGTTAGTTAATTACTATAGGTGGATAACAGTATGACACAAGAACCAGATCCTGCCTGGACTGAAGTCGTAATATTAGATGACTGATTGACGCCATACTTGACACTGAAAGGTGGTCAAGTGGTCAGCCATGTTGTCTTTCAGTCAGAAGATGATGGGTTGACAGTCACATAGCCAAACAAAACAAGAATACATGCGGAAAAATACAGTGTGTACCTCAAAAATTGGCACCCCCACCCCAACATTCAACGCGGTGTGACGTACCTTCACATTTTCTATTATCAACAGCAACAATAAAAAGCCCATTATAAAATATAAGCTGTACAGTACATGCTTAACCCTGGCAGAAACCAGAGATTTTTACATACAGTTATATGAATACAAAGATAAAACAATTCAGTCATGCAGTTATTGACAAGAACCGTTCTAAATACCAATAACGGAATGATCAGTTTTGTTGTTTTTCAGAATATGTACAATACAATTACATTCCCGAAATCCAGCTGAACAAACTCAAAATATAACCACAGTTCCCAGCATATGGAGTAGCTTTTAAAGATGGTGGATTTGAAAGGGAGGGGGTGCGAGAAGATGAAAGAAATGAAACAGACTTTACCTTTTCTAACTCCTAATGAGCTGAGAGAAACTGCTGAGATGGCTCAGGAAAAATTTCACAGCAGGCGGCTTCCACATCTCTGAATTTCACACATGCACTCTTCCCCCCTTTTGAGGAGTGGATAAGTGTGAAAAGGGCCTCCTCTTTTCTCTATATCTTTCTCTTCATCCTTTTTCAACACTTTGTTTTATGTACACAGACCTGCCTTCATTGTCTTTCCTCCCGTACCTTGCCAGCTCCTGCTCCCCTCCATACACTTGACTTTGTCTTTCACTCCTCTTCCAATCTCTCTCCTGCAGACATTTAGTGATTCCCTAAGCTGCAAACTGGGCTGCCTCTCAAGCCTCATTTTGAAACATGTCTTTCCTCGTGTCTTCTTACTCTATTTGCCAATTCAACCCACACTCGGCTTGAACCAGGCCTGCTCACTGTGTGTCAAGAATAAAAGTAGCAGTGCACATTTCAGAGTTAAAAGGGATTATTTAGCAACTGCTTTTATCTATTTTTTTCTCCCTATCTGCTGCTGCACTCATAGCCTGTAGTCTTCTGTGGAATCGAGGTGCTTGTAGGTGAGCACAGAAGTGAGAAACACTAAAGAGCACAGGTCCAGGGCCTGTTAGATTTTGTGGTAAAATAATAAAAGGATGGAATTGGAGCTGAAGCTAGAAGTGGAGTTGAAATGTATTATTTGCTTCAGTCAATCTGTGTTTCTCGCTTTCTCAGTGACTGGGGCTCGGTAATTGGCTTGCTGCAGGCATCCCAGTGGTAAGCTGTAGCCAAATCTGTATTCATATGACTTAGACTGCAGCCACTGACTGTTTCTCTCCTGCTCCTTCACATTCTCTCCAACTCCAAATCACTCTCCTTTTGATATGAAAGCACAGCATCATCAAGTGCCAGTAAAAAAGTCAAGCACAAGCGTCTTAAAAACATGGACTGGAGTATTTACTGTAATGTGACAGAAAAGAGTTTCTTTTAAACTCTGCATGTGGTTTATAACTAAAGTGAGGAAGTTGCCTTGTTGTAGGCACAAGTGGTCATGTAATAGGTGCCCGGTGGTTTCTACTACTGAAAGCTGGACTATACGAGACAGTTTATGTACAATAAACCAGGTCAAGAAGAAAATTCCTGTCTCCTGCACAGCTGCATGTAAACTTCCTGGACAGTTATCCTCCCTTTTCTCTAAGCATCACCTGGTCTCTTACAGACCAAAAAGAGTTCACATATTCACAGCTGTGCAGTTTATCATACAGGAATTCAATACAAACAGCTACACGCTCCTAGAAAATGTGCAAAAGCATGAAAATGAGACCAGGACCTGACCTATACTGCAAAACTTTGGACTGAGCCCAATCTCAACAGTGAAGCAAACCTGATCCAGTGTTAGTTTATTTTAGTTCTTCTTCATTTCATTAGTGTTTGAAACCTTAAAAACCATTAAACTGATACAAAGCCAGCAATGTCTAATCATCTAGATCTCCCTCTTTCGTGCTATTTTATCTATGCTAACCTCCCCGACCTCAGCAATTAATTGCTGTCTCCAACATTCTCATAAATTACAGAAATTATGGCCAAAAGGACATAATTAAGAAAAAACTGGAGAAAGAGAATATAATTCATTGACATATTTTTGTCTCCATTGAACTCGATCTGTGGTTTCTGCTGTATAATCAGCCAAACAAAAGTACAAAGAAATAGTCAATAAAAACTTGGATTGTTTTAATGAACACACCTGTGCTTTTCCAACTATGACAAGTTAAAATGTCTGCTATTATTTTACTAATAACCCCTACCACAGTTACTCTTATCTGATTTTATAATACTGCTCAATATAAACATAGTGGCTGTTCCAGCTTTAGAAAGTAAAAGGTTTTTTTCCATTAGAGAGTTTTTCCTCTGCACTGTCACCAAGTGCTGGCTTAAGGGGGATTTGTTGGGTTTTTCCCAATAACAACAACAACAACAATAATATCTAGACCTTACTATTATGTGTCCTAGAGATGAACTTTGGTCCAAACAGTACAAATCAATCCCGGAACAACAGCAAAGGACCTTGTAAAGACACTGGAGGGAACAGGTACCAAAGTGTCTATATCCACAGTAAAATTAGTCCTGTAGTGATGTAACCTGAAAGGCTGCTCAGCAAAGGTCTTGGCTGCAGGAGAGACTGGGGCCCTTCACAAAATAGATGGTATCATGAGGAAGGGAGATCATGTGGATATACTGAAGCAACATCCCAGGACATCAGCCAGGAAGCCCCATGTCAGAGTCCAGAAACTCAGTCGACTTCTCTGGGCTCGAAGGCATCTGGGATGGACCATCACACAGTGTGAACATGTACTGTGGTCAGACAAATCAGTATTTCAGGTCTTTTTTGGAAGGGAAGGACACTAAAACAGAGAAAGCACTGGTGCTGACTAAAATCACTGCGGTGTAGAGTGGCTAGAGTGCAGAAGCTTACTGCCTTTCCAGGTGAGCGTTTATTCAAGAAACTGTCCTTTGCCTCCAATCCTGGTGTGCACCACAAAGCCCTACCTCTCCATCACAACTGCTGGGTCATCTCTCTGTTAAAACAACCCTGTTCACACCCACTTTGAACGCCAGCCACAGACTCTCAACTACACTGGATCTGACACCGACTGCACAGAACATCACAAGGACAATGCACCAATTCCTGTTCACACTTATTACACGAGGCTGTTCTGTATGTGTCAGTGTGTTAGCATTTGTCTGCCTGAGTAAGGTTCAATGTTTATTGATATTCAAAAAAAACTGCCCAGCTCTGTTTCATCTGATTTTCACAGACAGACAGTTCAGGTATTGTTCACACAATGGAGAGCAGAGAACATACACAATCTGTTATTTGCACTGTAAAATACCTTTAATCAAACTTATTTAAAAATCTCTCTTTTCACATTTTTTCCTAATCTTTGTCAGCTTGGAAATGTCCTGTTCCCTCTGTCCTTGTCACTGCTAATTCTACTGTTAACCTGGGAAGTGCTGCAGACAGCCCTGCTTTCTCTGTGACACATGGTGTCACCACTTGCAGTGATGAGCTGCAGCAGGAGGGTGTTACGTGTGAGGCCCACATTATCTGCAAGTTCCACTTCTCAGCAGACTTGAGATACCATTACTCAAAATCAAATCCCAGGATTCTGCAGTGGCGGATGGAAACCCAATGGATGTGCCGCACCATAAGGTTTTTAACCCAGATGTTTGTATTTCTTTTCAAATTCACTTTTCAGTCATTTGTCATTAAACCTCTGTACTGATTTATCACTCCACAAGTCGACCAACCACGTCTTCCATACTCTGTCCTTGGCAACTAGAAGTGATTATAATTACTACTTAATAAGATAAAAGACCGTTTTCTCCATGATCTTTATCACTGAGTTGCAGCCACCATTTGTTATTTTTATGACATAGCCTGGAAAAGCACTTATCCACTCAGACTTGCCCAAATAAGTAATAAAGAAAAAATAAAGAGTAAAAGTGGCCCCACACTGCACCAGGATGCTCTCAGTTCCACTTTAAGTATTTAGCATTGTTGAAAAACTGGAGCAATCTGAAGGCAGTATGGCTGTGACACGGATGTCACTACGTAATGAACATGGTGGCTGATGAAAAATCAGACAAACAGCTCATAATTACATCTCTGGTAACATAGTGGTACTGAGCTCCCACGCCACAGTGTGAATAAACATTTTCACTTATGATAAAGGTTCACAAAACACACAACTCTAAAAGCATCACAATTCAAAGCTAATTCATTAAATGCCCTCCATTGCTGTAGCATCTTGACTTGCTGATTGGTGAAAAGATTTAACAGTGTTTCTTCCTTAATTGTGTTGAAATGGAGCTTGTGGGAGAACATTTGATAATTGTGTGTGCAACCGTCTGCCTCTATGGAATACCTGAGGCTCAGCTGGACAAATATGCTGAATTCAAGCAGTGCCACAATCTAAAGGCCTTTTTATTTATGACATCCAACGAAGTATTGTGCGACTTTACATGCGAGCACACTGTAATGCATGGGATGTTCTAAAATAGCGGGTGTGCCATCAACAAAAGAAGGTACATTAAAAACCCAATAATTAAAAATAATAATAAATAAAAGGGGACCAACAGTGATTTGATCAGATTTTCCAGGTGCAGCACTGATATGTCTTCAAAATAAAACAGAGCAGGAAATGAGATGCACTAACTCATGCTATGTGTTTCACTGTTATACAAAACTGCCATCTGGTGGTGAAGATGTCACTACATGTATGCTCTGAAGGCAATCTGAAGAGTGTGTGTGCCAGCATCTTTCAGGGTCTTGGAAATTAGTTGCTTTAATCTCCACCTGTTTCGAGGTAAAGTCAACAAAACTCACTGTATTTTAAAGGAAGAGCCTTTCTTGCCGCTGTATGTGTTTGCGTGTTTCTGTTCACTTACCCAGGTCCAGCCTCTGACACAGTGAGCCCAGCCCTTGCAGTACAGCCAGCTGCAGTTTATATGCCAGGGTGTGTGAGTAGACAGGCCCAGCTTTGGCGCTGATTGGAGCCTGTTGTGCCAGCGAAGAGCTCAGCCTGGGAAGAATCTCTTTAGAAACCCTTCTCCTCAAGAAGTCACCACATGTTTCACCCAGTGTGCACAGCACCTGGCAGAAAGACTCGGCATGTAATGTATATACACAGCAAGTTGTCAAAATGTAAAAGTGTCCCTGTAGCATTAAGCAAATAAGAAAAAGGATGGTGTAGTATCACATTGACAAGCTACAGGATTTACAAAACCCAAAAGCTGATGGTTACAATGCAGTTTGCCAGCAGTAGCACTAAGCGACTACAAACGTAAATAATTGCAAACTAATTATGTTTAATTAGTTTAATCACCAGTGTTATCAGACCTGTTCAGTTGCTGAGCATTCTGACCTGATCCTGATGATGTATCACAACAACACAGTGAGCTGTTGCTAAATAACTCTTTTGTGCATCTTAAATGAACAATTTAGTTAAATGGAGAGAGAAAAAGACTTGTGGTCCAGAACAAACCCTGAAGGCTCTGAGGACTGCTAAAGGGTCATCAGCTGTCAGTCTCTGCAGGAGGGCGGGCCAGCAGCGATGGGCCATAGGCAGCAGTTCATCTTCCATCTCACTCAGTACACACACACACAGCTCCAGCACGTCCAGTACCTTCGGAGAAAGAGTCACAGTACAATACACATATACAATATGTGGGAGAGAAAGTGTAACAAAGACACATAGCGCAGGTCGTTTGGGTGATGTAACACAACCGAAAGTCGACACTGGAGGTCCAGAGCTTCTGAGTACCAATAACTAATCCAACCATCAACTTTGTTAGTGACATAAAAAGAATAAACTGTAAGAACTTTGCTGATCCTGTCATTTTTCACACACATTTAATTTGTCAAATACTTATGGGGAACATTCCTCAGGTGCAGTGTACATTTACTGCTAATTAGTAAATGTTACATTATACCAGCTAAAAAGCAGCATGTTGGCACTCAATTCCTACAGTATGAATTACTTTGAGTTTTGAAAACTAACACAGTAAACCTATACCTTGTTAATAAATGAAAGTTATATTTTACTGGTTATAACTGATACAAGGTCACTTTAGTTTATTGCAAGTCTTTTCCTTCTTTTTGCTCACTTGACAACCACACTAACAAACTATACACCGAGCTTTATTTCCCCTTGTTGCCACAGTAGGTTATTGAATATTAACATGGAAATGGAGACTATAATTCAGCATTAGCCTGGGGTAGCTAACCTGTTGTCTTTTTTTTGCCTCACTAACATTAGACCAGTCTGAGTGAAAAGCTGTGACTAGCCTAGAACTGTAGAATTGGCCAGGTCTTTGGATTCTAATTGCAACATGTTTTATGCAAAGTCTACAGTTTTTGAGAATGATGACATGGAGCGGTGCTAACTAACTAGCAGGGCTGCCCCATAATAGTTGAGTCATTAGTTGAGAGATCTGTCAGGCGACTGAAGCGCTTCAGTTTACATTACAGTAGGAGTTAGCCCCAGCCGGTAGTTCATTGTTTTCCTCTCCTCATTTTGGTTTGCTAAGCAACAGTTTGCTCAGCACTTCCCCCTGTGTTCAGGGGGGAATACCCAGTTCAATAGTGACACCCTCCCGGTGTATGCATGTACATTAAGGTCAGATCTATTTAGCAAATTGCAGAATGAGAATGTCTCAGAAGGAAAAACTGCCCATAAGAGCACTGCTTCAACAGAAATACAAGTGTGCCTGTCTCCTTATTCTGACAAATCCATATGCAGCCCCACATTATATAGCCTCAATTTAAATAGGTCACAGTTTAAATCTTGCATCATATGCATCTATCTTTTACTGATTTTTAAATGCACAGAAATATGCTTCTGTCACTCTTTTGCATTTAAATACTGATTTTAATGTGGTCGAAATCTTTCATCAAAATTCACGGCAGTTGATTTTTTGACAGTCTGGGCTATTTATTGAAGAGATGATCGACAGTCGAATGACAAAATCCTTACTCAGTTACAGCCCTTAACTACTTTGTTGTGAATATACAACAAGTTGGATATTTAAACAATGTAACAAACAATTCACTATTAGATCGTACTGGTGGTGTGGTGTGTGTTTGGGAGATTTGTCACAGCAGTACAAAGCCACCACAGTGTAGAGATAAAAATTTCCTTCTATGGTACTGATGCAATTTAAACGGGTTCCTATGCAATGATGGAACAATCATCTTTAGGATTGTTATCATCTATACCAAACGTCCCTTTCACATTACCTCACACTACACACAGGGTACCTTGAGTCGAAGCCTGAGGCTTGGGTCAGACAACAGATGAATGCAGCGTTCCATAACATCTTTAGTGATGCTGAGGTGGGAGGGAAGCTCGGCTTTCACATCAGGACCATCAATATTCTCATGCTCCGTGGGAGGAGGGACCTCTGAGAAGACGGTAAATGTCAAGTCAGATGGATGGGTGATCAGTTGATCACCCTGGCAAAAACTCAGCTGTTGTTGGCCATCTTATAGCTAATGTGTTATTGTTATTCATCCTGTTTCATCATAACCCAGTTTCCCTAATGATAAGCTGAATGCAATACAACCTGCAAAACTTGTATTACAATGAAATATTATTATTGTGTTTGTCCTGGGAGAGATTTCATATTACCAAGGCCCTCATTGTTGTCCTCCTCTATTCCAATACCCTCT